CAAACATTTGATAATGACGGCTTAATCTCTGTCGAGCGAGATACCCTTAACTTGGGTCAAGCCCCCTCATGATTTTCCCCAAAAGGCCTTACACCATTAAGAGTCCCCTACACCTTATATGTAGGGTACCAATGTGGAACTTTATTCGCACACCCAACAATCTCTCGTTCGAACTAAGTTCCACGTGGCTCACTACCACGATCCACGAGCCAATTTTCGATATTCACTGTGTGCCACTACTAGCTTTTTCTTGTGTGTGGGCGTCTCTAAGCTCGTAAAGGGAAGTAAACCGAGCCCCACGCCATCACTCTGCCATCGCCGTACTCATCTTGCCGAACCTGACTCTGATACCAACTATTGATCTAAAACAGCCCAAAGATACTCTTAATATGGAGCTACAAATGTAGGACTTTGTTCGTATACCCAACGATCTCCCGCTCTAACTAAGTTCCACGTGGCCCACTACCACGATCCATGGGTCAATTTCGTGATTCACTGTGTGCCACCCACATTGTTAGAGTATTTATGGCAACCGAAACCCACTATTAGCTTTTTCTTGTATGTGTGTGTCTCTAAGCTCATAAGGGAAGTAAATCGAGCCCCACACCATCACTCTGTCATCGCCATACTCATCTCGCCGAACCTGGCCGTGATACCAAGTTTTGTTCTAAAAGAGCCCAAAAATACTATTAATATGGAGCTACCAATGTGTAATTTTGTTCGCTTACCCAACAACTCTAGTTCTAGCATTATTTAATCATAATATTTCTTGCAAATTTATGCTCAGGTGGTTGTTGGAGTGGACTGCCTTGAAATAATTGTCTTTTTACTATCTTTTTAAAGCAAAGTAGTCCACTATGTGAATTAGAAACTTGTTGGAGGCGGCTATGTGAGTCCTCTATCCATATTCAGGGGATTCATTAAAATTTGACTATTTTTATGCTGGCCGTCAACCTACCACTACTACATAGTGCTGCTTACTTAAGTTTGTCCTGGTGCTGCTTTCATCTGAATATCTGCTTTTCTTTCATGTTCTTTTATAGTCTCTCTGCATCTGTTTAGAATTCTCTAGTGACATATACTCAAATTAATTAGATTTAATTGTACTTTCTTAAGGGCAATATCTTGGCAAGTGAACCTTTTTTCCTGATGTTCAACTTGCAGGGATATAATGTAATATCTCAAACGAGCTCTACCTGGTCCACTTTTACAGCATCTTATTTGCGCCGACATTATTCTAATGTATCATATGCCTGTAACAAATCCATTCATATTTCATCAGTTTCTTTGCATCACAAGATAAACCGTCCATTTTCTGGAACAAATGGTGTCTGCAAAAGTAAACCATTGTCATTTTCCTGCGGTGGAAGAGGGGTTTGCATCTTAAAACACCAGAAGTCTTTGAGGAGTAAGTTTCAGATATATGCATCACTTGATGTTGCCAGCGCTGTTGATGTTATCAATGACCTCGGGTTGGACACTTTGACATTCTTAGCTGTGACTGTACTGGTTGTACCTGCCTTCAAGAGCATAAAAGCTAGCCCTGTGAGTTGATTACAATATTCAAGTCCTTTTATCTTTGTTAGCTTCATAATCAGCAACATGTGTGCAATATTGGTTACGTGTGTCTGTATCATAAGATAAGTACCTTATTATTAAAAATTTCCGTTTTTTTAATCAAGTGCTATCTCCTTATGTTATTTGATACGTTAGTGAAGCTTCTCTTCATTTAGTGAATAAATTTTGCTGATGACTTTTTTGGTCAAATAAGGCCTTAGCTTTCGCCAAGATTACCTTTGTTCAACATTGAGGTATTAGAGATCCTAATACCAAATGGAGTTTCTAGTTCAATCAGTATCAATGTTGCTGTAAAGCAGGTAGTTAGTTAGGGCAATGTGGATATGATCTGGTGTAGCCTAAAAAGGAAAGGCAGCCATGTACGTGATATTGATTTCTAAATATGCCCTTTCGAAATGAGGATATCCATAAATAAACTCGTGACAGTTTTTTACATCCCTATTCATGTGTCCTACATTTGACAACATTGATCTAAGTGAATTATATGCCTTTATTCTGTATTGTCAAGATACCGATGTACACAATCACAGTTCAAATTGTATCTTGGATTCTGTTCTAAGTCAAGTTTAGAATGAGTAGGACCTGCTTATCCATCTTACACCCTAGTTCAACCAAAGACTTATTTCCTTGAACTTGTTTTTTCCAATGAGAGAATAAAGCAGCTTTTGACTTGGTGAAAAGAAACTTTGAATTGTGTATATTTGACATTTACTATACTTGCAACCCTCTGAGTCTATCTATGGAACTCAGTTGCTAGTGTTCAACATAACACATCAATCTGCTGAAAACCTTAGTACTATAACAGCCATTTTTAGTACTTGCACCCGCACTTGAGTCAAAATTTACATAACCTAGGTGAAGTCTTTGATATATTTTACCACTCTTCAAGAGGGTATTTGATGAATTTGGCAAATAATCTACAGTTCAAAGTCTAGCTCAAGGCTCTTATAGCACATCCACATTAAGATTTAAAACAATGTAGTGACTCTTCGGGCTAAATGACTCTTTGGCTTCCTTGACAAAAACAAGAAGTTCCTAGAAGTGATTATATTTTTAATTACTTGACATGATGCCGTGAATTGGCCTCCGGTATCTGCAAACAATTACTTTCTCATAGTTTATTCGTGAAAGCATGAGATGAATTTATTTGTAACCTAGAAATTTGTTGGAATCGCATCAAATTACATGTCACTGAAGTTGGAGATAGTGGTTAAGTAGTACAGAACTAAAATTTGATCTCTTGTAGTCATGTGGTGCTAATCTGTTTATTCCTTTCAGATACTTGGTTTTTTCTTTGCTGGAGTTGTGCTCAATCAATTTGGGCTAATCAGAAACATCACGGATGTTAAAGTTCTTTCCGAATGGGGGATTCTTTTCTTGGTAAGCTCATTGGTTGCTGTCATCCTATTTTGAGGGTTTAACTGTGCATGTAATGCCTAACAACAATCTAGTATCATTCTTCTCTCGCTTCTTTTGTTATTGTTCTTCCTTTTCTTTTTAAAAAACCTTTTTACTTGCAGAGCTGGAATTTTCTGCTACTTATCCTAAGAACACTGAGAAATCTATTGATATACTTGCATGATATGCCGTGCACTGAGAAATCTATTGATATACTTGCATGATATGCCATGCATATGGTAGTGCCTGATATTGTATTCATCCCATTACTTGCATTTAGATTTATGTGAAATAATTTGCTTTTCTTATGTACTGTGTATTCTCGGATATAAAGATCAATCTCAAACAATCAATTAAATCTATGCGGACAAGCAAAGACCATTTTAATTAAGATCAATGATTTTATTTTTGGTTGGATCAGAATTTTGTTTTGTTGTGGGGGATGGGGGATGGAGAATGGAAGTGACAAGCGAATACTTTATTTAATCTTGAAAAATAAAGGCTGATATTGCCGTGGCTTGCTAAAGTGGGACTATTGCAGGGTAAGGAAGCACAAAAAAGAAGAGAAAGCTTTATTTCTAGAACTTAGCTCTAAACGACTAGCAATATTTCCATGGAAACAAAACCCAAGTAATCTGTATTTCAAAAGGTTCTAGGTTTCTTTAGACCTTTTCCAAGTTCTATTACTTCCGTTTCCATTTATGTAAATCTATTTCCTTTTTAGTCGGTGCCAAAAAGAATGACCTCTTCCTTATTTGGAAACAATTTACCTTTATGTAATGATTTATAGCCACACAAAATATATGTGCCTCATTTTACACCACAAGTTCAAAAGTCTTCTATCTTTTCGTAAACTCCGTGCCCAGTCAAATGGGTTCACATAAATTGAAACGGAGGGCGTATATCTTAAATGGAGGAATATGCTCTGTGTTCCATCTGCTAGAATTTAAATGTTGCCCAACTTGTTAATTCAAAATTTTTCTCTTCTCCCATTTTCATCATATGCTGTATTCTTTCTCTTGTATTGCTTGGTTTTTGTTTGTTAAGAATGTTGCAAGGCTGGATTTAACTGAAGGAAGTATCATTTTACAGCTTTTTGAAATGGGATTGGAGCTTTCACTTGCACGCTTGAAAGCTCTTGCAAAGTTTGCCTTTGGCATGGGACTGACTCAGGTATTTTATCATAAAATATTTTGAATCGCCACATTTGATAGATTACTTATATAATACATCCCATGGCTAAAGACTATGTTACTCGGATTCTTCAAAAATGTTGTTGGGTGCGTGTCCGATCCTTCAAATTTAGTGAATTTTTGGAGGATCCGACACGGGTGTGGCAACACTTTTGGAGAGTCTGAGCAACATAGGCTAAAGACCATCTATTGTTTCAGCAACAGACATTTTATTCTATTAGATTTCCTTTAAGAAGTTACAATACTTTCGCGGACAGGTTGTGCTTGAGGATAATGCATCTCCTTCTTGAGACATTTATTACAGTTCTTGTCTGATATTTTAGGAATTAGCATGTGGCAGATATTACATGGGATATGGTTGTACATAGAGTAAAAGTTGATTCTCAGCTTTTGGAACCATTTCCTGGCCGTTAGGAGTTTGGATTCCATTGCATCTTTCCAATGAGACTAACAGGGTGTCGGGTATTGCTATCTATAGAGCTACCACTAAAATATGGTTCTCATTCCCCCTATCTATCTTTTCTATCTTATTATTGTTGTTTCTGGCTCATGGATAGTCACTGTTGCATAACAAAATCTACAAATAAAGCTTAACGGATAATATACGGTGTGTGTGTTGGAATCAGCCACTTTCATCAAGGAAGTCCTCACCTCATCTTCTTTGGTTCTTATTACATCAGTTTACTCTCTCATCTAATCTTTGTAGCACGTCTTGACATGAGTGTGGTTGATACATAAAGGCTTACACTCTGGTGTTGCTAGAGTACTTTTTTTTTTCTTCAAGCACCAACTGAGCTGATAGTAAATCACTCATCCTCTGCTCTATTTTAGGACAGAAGGATGTGATTCACTCTAGCAGCCAATTTCATTCTAGACCTGATTAAGGTACTACTATTAGTGGAAAATTCTGCAATGAAAACCTTGAACTAAACCAACAAGGGTGTGGTAGAGTGGTAGTCGGGCCCCAATGCTGGTACTGGACACCGGGTAGGAAACATAACCCAAAAAAGAAACTTGAACTAAGAGAATGTCCAATCATGTTTTAGACTCTCATAATTATTTTGTTGATTTATAGTAACAAAAAAGATCCATATAGGTGATACTTACTAGTTAGGAATAGGCTTTTAAATATTACTCCCTCTGTTTCAATTTATTAACCTTTTCGGAGTATGATGGTCAAATTTACTAATTCTCGGTGTGACTTTGCACATAAATTCAGGAAGTTTTGAAATAGAATTACATATTTAGAAACTACGTAAAAGTACTATAAGTCATAATAATTAACAAGTGTTGATTGACTTGATTATTAGGAAAGATTTGATTCTGATTGAGAAAGATTTTGTTCTGATTGATTTTAATTGATTGTAATTTATTTTCCTTCCTAAAATAGTCATAGGACATAGTGTATAAATACCTTTTCTTAGGGATGTAAGAAATACACTAAAATAGAAGAAACCTTTTCTTCTTCTAAAAAATCTACATGGTATCAGAGTCATTGCTGCCTTTTTGAGGTGAGTTATCTCCCTCGCAGCACTATGGTTCCATTTTTATCAAAGAAGTCGAGTTTTCTCTCTCTTGGTGGCTGTCCGCAACAGAAACTCCTTCCGGTTCCATTGAGACAGATTTGGTTTCCAGCGAGGCAGATTATCATTGAGCAATTTTCTTCAGATTTCCTTCTGATTGGGCAGAAAATATGTAGACATTCAAGGAGACGGTTTCTGAAGAAATCTTGTCTTAAGATGAAATTCAACTTCTTCGTCGCCTCCTAGCCAAACTTGACTCCGTTAATGTTGCCACATCCAATTATGTGTAATCAAGTACTGCCTTTGCTGCCCACCTTAATTCTTGGATTGTTGATTCCGGTGCAAATAGACACATGACAGGCTCTTCTAAAGGCATTCAAAACTATTCTCCGTGTCTCAAGGGAGATAATATTAAAATAGCCATTGGTTCTTTAACAACTATCTCTAGAACATGTTGTGTCATTTGTACTCCTAATATTAAACTATCATCCGTGCTCCATGTCCATGAGTTCCCTGTCAATCATTTATCTGTTAGTGCCATCATCAAAGCTCTAAGCTATAAAATCGAGTTCTTTCCCGATCATTGTATTTTTTAGGATCTTCAAACAGAAAAAATGATTGGCAGTGGTAGATTGCATGATGACTTGTATATATTAGATGGAATTCAAAACTCTGGTCAAACCTTTTTTGGGGAAAGTAAGGATGTCAATCAAGAAATAATACAGCGGCATAGACTGCTAGGACAACCATCATTTTTTGTTTTGAAGAGGTTATATCCCGATTTATTTTCAAAGACTCAATTTGAATCTTTGTTCTGTGATGCGTGTGAATATGCCAAGCATACTAGAAACTCTTATCCTGTGAGTGATAATAGAAGCACAACTCCGTATATGACGATTCATTCTGATGTATGGGGTCCTACACAAACTGTTTCTTTGTCTGGTAGTGGATGATTTGTTACTTTCATTGATTGCTGCACTCGAACGTCTTGGGTATATTTGTTAAAACCAAAAGTTGAAGTTTACTCTTGTTTTTAGTCATTTCATAAGATGATTTGTACTCAGTTTGATGCCAAAACAAAAATCTTGAGAACTGACAATGGCAACAGATACATGGATAAAAGATTTGGTGCTTATTTGGAGTCGAATGAGATAGTTCATTAGACTAGTTGTCCTTACACTAGTGCACAAAATGGGGTTGATGAAGGAAAAAATAGCCATTTGTTAGAAGTAGCACGATCTCTTATGTTCACCATGCATCTATCAAAACCTTATTTGGGGGATGCTATTCTAGTGAGTGCCTATTTTATCAATAGAATGCCACTTAAAACCCTCAATTCTCAAAGTCCTCTCGAAGCTTTAAAGGGTAAAAATGAATATACTGTCCCTCCAAAGGTGTTTGGGTGTGTTTGCTGTGTCCCTGGGAAACTTGATCCTAAAGCTATAAAATGTGTTTTCATTGGGTGTTTTCCGACACAGAAAGGTTACAAATGTTATCATCCTCCATCTAGGAGATCTTTTGTTAGCATGGATGTTACTTTTCGATAATCTGAGCCCTATTTCAGTATTACCTCATCACCTCTTCAGGGGAAGAGCAACAAGGAGGAAGATGTGATTCTACTTAATTCCATTACTGGACCTCTTGATGACATTGTCACAGGGGAAAGTGAAATTGGAGAAAGAATACAGGGGGAGACTATTGGGCATTTGGATAGGCCTGATTTGAAAACTTACTCAAGGAAAAATAGAGCAGAAGAAGCCATCATGCAATCTACCAAAGCTGAACCTTCTTCTACTGGTGAGTTATCTACATTTCCTAATGAGTTAGATGAACCTATTGCTCACAAAAAAGGAGTCAGATCTTGCACCACCAAATGCCCTTTATCTAATTTTGTCTCGTATAGTTCTTTGTCTCCCTCCTATAGAGCTTTTGCCTTGTCTATTTCTTCTGTGTCTATTCCCCAGAATTGGAGGGAAGCTTTTGCAGATCCTAAATGGAAGCAAGCTATGATTGAAGAAATGAAGGCCTTGTCAAGAAATGAGACTTGAGAATTTGTCACTTCACCACCAGACAAAAAGTTGGTTGGCTGCAAATGGGTCTTCACTGTGAAGCACAAAGTTGATGGCTCGGGTGAAAGATTCAAAGCAAGATTGGTGGCTAAGGGATTCATCAGACTTATGAAGTGGATTATCAAGAGACATTTGCCCCTGTTGCTAAGATGAACACTATTAGAATTCTTTTATCTTGTACATCTTATGTTGATGGGGACTTGCAACAGTTTGATGTTTCATGGAGACTTAGAAGAAAAGGTGTATATGGAGATTCCTCCTGGATTTGATACTGCACAAAGTCAAGGAAAGGTATGCAGATTGAAGAAAGCCTTGTACGGATTGAAGCAATCCCCCAGAGTCTGGTTTGATAGATTATGCAAAGCGATGATCTCCTTTGGTTATCAACAATGTTGATCACACCCTCTTCCTAAGAAATCAGTCGGGTAAACTCACTCTTCTCATATTTATATTGATGACATAGTAATGACATGAGATGACAAAGAGGAGATGGCCCGATTGAAGAAATTGTTTGCACATGAATTTGAGATCAAGGATCTAGGAAAATTGCAGTAATTCTTGGGAATTGAGGTGCTAGATCAAAAAAAGGAATCTTTATTTCTTAGAGGATGTATATTCTGGATCTCAAACTAGTATGACATGTTGCGGACCAGCAAAATCTCCCGTTGAAAGCAATCACAAGTTACAAAGCGGAGTTGTAGAGTCAGTTGATAAAGAGAGATATCAGAGGTTGGTTGGAAGACTTATTTATCTCTCCCATACTAGACCAGACATAGCCTATTCGGTTAGCTTGGTGAGTCAGTTTATGCATGATCCCCGAGATCCTCATATGCAAGCCGTCTTTCACATTTTGCGGCATCTGCAGTATGCTCCAGGGAAAAGGTCTACTTTTCTCCAAACATGATCACCTTTAAATAGAAGCCTTTACATACGCGGATTGAACTGGATCTCTGTATGATAGAATATCTACATCCAGTTAGTGTACGCTCGTAGGAGGAAACTTAGTTACTTGGAGAAGCAAGAAGCAAAGTGTAGTTGCTAGATCAAGTGCGGAGGCAGAATATAGAGCTATGGCCCAGGGTGTTTGCGAACGGCTTTGGCTACAAAAACTACTAGAGGATTTGCGACTGTCTAAAAAGGAAAACTTTCCTTGTACTGTGACAATAAGGCCGCCATGAGTATAGCTCACAATCCAGTCCAGCCTGACCGAACAAAGCATGTGAAAATTGATCGACAATTCATCAAAGAGAAAATGACAACTGGTGTCTTGAGTTTGTTTAATGTGCCACCGGAAAAACATTTAGCTGATGTGTTTACCGAGGGTCTCAACCAACGAATTTTTCATATGCTGGTTTGCAAGTTGGGCATGTGCGACATCTTTGCACCAACTTGAGGGGGAGTGTTGATTGACTTAATTATTAGGAAATATTTGATTTTGATTGAGAAAGATTTGATTTTGATTGAGATTTGATTTTATTCTGATTGATTATAATTGATTGTAATTTATTTTCCTTCCTAAAATAGTCATAGGACTTGGTGTATAAACACCTTTACTTAGGGATGTAAGAAATACACAGAAATACAAGAAGCCTTTTCTTCTTCTGAAAAATCTACAACAATTCAACATATCCAAAAACTATTTGCAAAAAAACTACTTTCTTTCCTTCTCAAAAGAAAAATTAATAACTATTTGCAAAAAACATGGTCAAAGAAAATCTTATTTGACTCCCCAAATAGTAATAGGTTCATTCTTTTTGAAACAGAGGGAGTACTATTTTTCTTATTACTTTTACTATTAAATATATAAAACTTATTTTCACTACTATTGTTACTTGATTTTGGCAGGATGATGATATAAGTTGAGTTTAAAGAAAGAAATGAAGATTCATATTGCTAGCCCCAACTTTGTTTAGGACTTAGACGTAGTAGTAGTAGTTGTTGTACTGTAACGAAAGCTCAAAGCTAATGGTGTGTATAAATTGTGAACCTTCCTTATCACCTTGTCTCAAGAGATATCAGTTTATCCGCTTATGTTCCTTCGTCTGCCATTAGCATGATGGAGGAGCGAGGGCAGCTCCATCTCCTCCTTACCAGGTGGAAACAATCCCCTTCTTGTTACAGACATGCTTTTCAATAGAAAGCCTCTCAAAGCCAGAGTTCCCACCCTTCTCTTTCTCTTTGACTCATTTCTATTTAAGTTCTGTTTAAGACTTCACAAATCATGATACACCAAGTGTTTCTTTTTCTGTTTTCATTACATGGTTGTGTGTAAGTTGGGGAACCCAATAGCACTTGTTATTGTACTTTTATTTGTTTCAGTTGGTTTTCAGTGAAGGTTTTACTTTCTTAGCTAATATCTTTGTAATGAAATGCTAAACTTAAATCTGGATGAGCTATCTCTTGAGCAAAAAATTATTTGGGAAAAAGAAAGCATGATGATAGGGGGCTGAAAGGATCGGAGATGGGAAGAGAGTTTTTTGTTATACTTTTGGGAAAAAAGCATCTGCATTAGTACATGCAGCATTGTATTCTTTGTGTTATTTTTTAGTTTACATTGTTTACACTATTTTATGCCCTTCATAATTTGAATAGTTAATAAACAATATTGATTCAAACTGATGAGGAAAAGTTTGCCTCTTAAGCAGCTAAAAATTATTTCAGGCCCTAGTTTTACTTCTGTTCTGCATCTGAAGGATATTCGTACTCATGTACTGAGGTCTTTCTAACATCTTTTTGTTGAACGTTGTTATGAAAATCAAGTATGTGCTATTTTTTGGTGCTCTAGTATAATGGGATGCTTGAAGTTTTATCTATTTGGTGAATTCCTTTAGGATATTTGTACCTAGGTATTATGAGGTCCTTCTAACATTTTTCCTTGTATTTTCTTGTTTGTTATGTTGAAGGTTGTATTATCAACCCTAGCATTTACATCATTCGAGCTTCCACCTAATGATGCTATTGGAACAAAGATTCTGGAGTTTCTTTTTCACTCAAGGCCTGATCTAGTAAGTCTTCTATACTGAAATACCTCTGTATAATTGACAGAAAGACCTTTATGGAAGGCTAGAAATATATATAGATACAGGAGTGTGCATGTGGTATGTTGGTATACCACTTAGAAGAAAGAAACCCGACTGGGTAAATAGTTAACCAGACATGACTAAGTAGTTTGTCAGTCCTTCCCTTCGTTTACTCTATTTAGCTCTTCGTCATTTCACCATGTTTTTCTTCGTTATATTGTTCTGTTGATTAGTCCCTTGTCATTTCACTTTTGTTCTCTTAAAGAAACCAGAAAGAATGGTGCTCCTTGCTAAATTGCGATCATGTAATTGTTGAAGGAATCAATTACTTCACGTTGTTTTGCCTTCTTTCGTCTTAATTTATATATGCTACTGTACTTTACAATGACATCTGTGGCACAGCATAGGCCACTGTGAATATCTTTCGTTTAGGTATATTCATATCGTAAAGGTCAACCAATATTTATGTTATTTACTCATACAATTGATTTCCTGACCCTTCACTAATCCTCCTCCTTAGAAAGAAGCCTTTATTGGTTTTCTAAATCAATCAGTCAACAATCAGCTATGCTTGAATCTCAAGCTGGTTGAGACTTGGGCTTGAATATATGAATCCTTCGATATTCGGCCTTACTTAGGCTCGTTTCTATTGTTTTTCTGAATTTTCTGTCATATTTGAGCTGCCTTTGTTTCTCACACGTATAGTTTGAGAGAGAGAGAGAAGAAATGTTCACATTTTTTAATACAGTCGGTGTGTCGAAGACTAAATAATAAATAAAAACATTCCATTTCTATGAGACAATTCAAACTTCTATGCGGTAGTAGAGCAGGTAAAGGTTGTCACCACCACCCATCGAGAGATCAAGAGAGAGTGAGAGAGAGAGAGAGAGGGGAGGGAGNATATCAGGTTCGAAGGTGAAGTGGCATGTTGAAGTTTTAAAATTAGTTAATAAAGAGTATTCCATCTTCAACAGTTTAAACTTTGAGATGAGACGGTTCACAAATTCAATATTTGTATATGTGCCTCAAGTAAATTTACTTGTTGAAATAGTTTTGAGCATTTTCAGCTAGTGGTTAGGCTTATCTGCTCTAGACCCTGAGGCTTGTCTGATTCAGGTTTCATTGGGTGTGAAAGGAATGCGTCACCTAGAGATGTTAATAAGACTACAGAAAATAACTGCTGTAGCAGGCAGATCATGCAAGTCATATCTGGGGCTTGTGCAAGTCTTTAGAATCCCCCATCAGCCGGTGGTCCTAGAAGGCAAGGCTTCATAAGAAAGGACAGAAGGCTTCTTCCTTTTTCTTTTTCATATTAATTTATACAGTAAAATATAGATACTCAATTGGTACTTACTTACCAGCTACAGGCACCTTTATCCTCTTTCTGCTTCATCAGTGGCTTACTGGATGTAGTGATTCTTCTTTTTCCTTTTTTTCTTTTTCGTAGAGATATAAACGATTCTTTTTCTCTTCTTCTTCTTTTTCCTCTTTTTTGTCTTTAGGCATAGATATTTATTAGGCACTTATCCACCATCTACACTCTCCTTTATCCACATTTTGCTTCTTCATCAGTAACTTATTTAGGATGCAGGTGAATATTAGAAGTGTTGATGAGGCTGTAGTGATTGGTGCCGCTCTCTCTCTATCTTCTTCAGCTTTTGTTCTGCAGGTAATTTATTATGCTACAATGCCTGGTTTGTGAATGAACTCTGCAAATCCCTTTATCTTGTTAAAGATTCATTTCTGCGGAAATATTTGGCATCCTATTAATGCTATTTTGAGTGTAAATCTGCAACAGCTGAACATTGAAATTTTATAAGGAGATATTTATCATGTATCCCTTGTTAATGGCATTTTGGGTGCAACTTGTTTGATAACTTTAGTTACTGCTGACGAGGCTTCTGCTTATGATATGGCTGTGACTTTGTCTTGCAACTATCATAAAACTTCTCTGGTGTCTGACTCACTTCTATTTTATACTTCAATTCTTTTCAGCGATGACAAGACTAAGTTCTTTTGAAGTTTGCAAAGTACTCCCTCTGTCTCAAATTGACACACTTTCCTTATTAGTCCGTTCCAAAAAGAATGACACATTTCTATATTTGGAAACAATACAACTTTAAACTTTTCATTTTACTCACTTTACCTTAATGAGAAGCTTTTATAGCCACAAAAATATCATGGCCCCACAAAGCTTTTGCCCCTTAAGCTTTTAGGATCACATGTTTCAAAAGTCTTTTTTTTTTTCTTAAACTTTGTGCCAAGTCAAACTACATCATCTAAATTGAAACGGAGGAAGTAGCAGATTGTGCACTTGATACATCTTATCAGATTTTGACCACTAGCATGGAACAGCATCCTGTAATTAAAATGTATCCCCTTCACACAGTTCAGCATCTATATAACTACTAATCATGTAGTTGCAGTCCTAGATCTGTTACAACTCTTAACACCATGGACCCGTTGTTTAGCTGATGCGTGACTTACTCAGCTTCTCTTGTCCTCATTCCTGTTTATTTGCCTTTAAGCGTAAATAGAAAGATTTTTTAAAGATTGAATTTTGGAATCGAGAGATTCTGTATGGCACTGACGGTTATGACACTTCACTCTTAACTTTTTAAGATAATACAAAGATAGCATTCATCTTCAGGACAATCCGTATTGCCTGAGAGAATATGTTTCCCAGGAGACATCTGTTGCAATGAGAGAGAAGCTTCAGCAGCACCCTTTGTTTCCTGACATCTAGACCTTTTCAAGCTAATATTTATCGTGGCTTTATATACTAAACTTACATAAAAATGGAATTTCCTACTGATGCTGAACCTGTTCTTAGAGACCTTTCATGTGTATTCTCATTGTTACCTCTAGTTTTCTTGCTTTAACATTCTTGCTTTTGTTTTTAACCCTTTTAACTTTTAGATATCTTCTCTTTACTTGCTGAATTTATGTGGGGTTTACCCTATGTTAGCAGAAGCTGAAATTATTGCTTGTGAATAGATCGATGGGTTCTCTACTCATTTTGGCATAATTTTAGATTCTTGCAGAGAAGGGTGAGCTTCCAACTAGATTTGGCTCAGCTACTTTGGGAATACTTCTACTTCAGGTTCTATTTGCATCTTTACATTCAAGAAAATACATTTACCCCATCCCTCAAGGGGAAGTAAAAGAGAGACAAGAGAAATGAAGAACTAATAAAGGAACTAGAACTTTTGATATTCGTATAGATCTACATGTTTGACATTTAAATGCTCTTAAGGCACATCACTTGCATTTGGAATGGCGAAAAGGTCTTGTTCCTTTTCTGCATTCTGTCCAAGGACAATGGCGTGAATATTCAAGGACATGTTGCCCGTTTAGTTTTCCTCATTTGTTCTATACTGCTTGATATCCGCAGGACATTGCCGTTGTGCCACTTTTAGTCATACTACCGGTGCTGGAGACCCAGGTACATGGAGCTTGGAAACCTATAATGTAAATAAATTTTCTTTGATGCAGTTAGTGGGAAAATATTAAGTAAATAAATTTTCTTTGATGCAGTTAGTGGGAAAACATTGAACTTAAAGTTGATGTCTAAGCATCATTATCTTAACTAGTTACTTAGATAATTTTTTTCTCTGAAGGAAGAGAGGTAAAAATATCTCATACATGGACAATATGTTTAATTGCAAGAGCTATCAATGAGTCTTAATTTAGCAAAATTTGTTCCCAACTGAGTCTAAATTTCCTCTGCACGGGTATGTGCATTAACTTTCCTTAAATTTTATACAGATGTAAGATCAAGCTAACGGACTTGCCATTTCTTTTTTCTTGCAATTTCTTTTTTCTTGCACTACTGCTATATGTGTTTATGACTACCATGAGTATTGTTTGATCATCAAATCTCTGCAGAATTTGATAGAAGAAAGTATTTTGCCAATGCTTGCTAAAGAAAGTCTGAAGGCTTTAGGTGGACTGGGGTTGCTTTCTCTCGGAGGGAAGTACATATGGAGGCGAGTTTTTGAGGTGCTCATCCTTGTTCTTTGGCCAAGTATAAAATGTAACCAGGGGAGAATATAGGAACAGTGAATAGATACACTTATATTTTTGCTGCTGAAGCAACAAATCGTGTTTATCGGTTATAGGTTGTTGCAGAAACGAGAAGCTCGGAAGCTTTTGTTGCACTCTGCCTTTTGACTGTTGCAGGAACATCACTTTTAACACAGAAGTTGGGTTTTAGTGACACGGTCAGATACATCTCAAACAAGTGATGCCAATTGAGGCAGATAACAGTTCAGTTTATCATTTGATATTTATCCCATGGTGCAGCTTGGAGCCTTTTTAGCTGGGGCTCTGCTAGCAGAGACAAACTTTCGTACTCAGATTGAAGCTGATATAAGGCCATTCAGAGGATTACTTCTTGGACTATTTTTTGTGACTACCGGAACTTCTATTGATATGCAGGTATTTCCTCCTAAGTATGACCTTTGTTATGTACTGTAGTATGCACTCTTTGTGGGCCTGTAATTCTTTATCCATTTTCACATAATTCTTAATCTCATGCAGCTTCTTTTCCGTGAGTGGCCAAATGTGCTTTCCCTTTTGGCTGGTCTGATTGTTATCAAGACATTGATCATAACAGCAATAGGTCCCCGAGTCGGCCTATCCCTTCAGGAGAGTGTGAGAATTGGATTTCTTCTTTCTCAAGGAGGTGAATTTGGATTTGTGGTCTTTTCCCTAGCAAACAGGTGACTTTCATCTGAAGTTCTGTGAAGTAGAATTATTTTCTTCAACGTATTAACGATGCCATTTTATTGTAGGCTAGGAGTACTGCCACTTGAGCTAAATAAACTACTTATTATTGTTGTTGTGCTGTCTATGGCACTGACTCCACTACTCAATGAAATTGGACGGAAAGCTTCTGAGTTTATTGGTGAGAAGTTTGACAATGAGGATGTAAGTCTTTTACCAGTCCTTGAGTTTGAGGAATGTTAAATATTGAAATGAGGCTGATTACGCCATGACCACTATCTCTCTCTTTGAATATTATCTCATTGGTTCGTCTCTCTTGAATCCTGAAATTTCAGATATGAAAACTGAGTTTTCTGTAGCAGCGAATTAAATGCATTTTAGTTTCAGTAAACACGTTAGAATGCAAACTTAGTTGAGATTCGTGTGTTACACGTAAATATAATTTAGTAAAGATGCTTGGTTGCCTCACCTGTTGAGGAAAAAAAGAGATGCTTTATTGTGTTTCTCTTGAGGTTATTTGAAATAGAGCAGAGTAGTTATCTAGGGTCCTCATACTCTCTCTCCCTGATCTTCGTGAATCAGAAGTTACTTATTCTAATAACTACTTATGTAAAGATAAATTCATGATCATTTCAGAGAACTGCTGAAATGGCAAATTTTGATGTGAGTGAACCAGTAGTTATCCTTGGATTTGGGCAAATGGGTCAGGTAATGCAATTGTCAATCACTGTTGATTAGGAAGAAGCTCTGCTTTGTTTTTCTGATGCTTTGTTCTTTTTTCTCTCCACACAGGTCCTTGCCAATTTATTGTCAACACCACTAGCTTCAAGTGACGGCGAGGAGTTTCGCTATGTTGCTTTTGATCTAGATCCTAAAGTTGTAAAGGTTATTTCATTTCATAGATTAAGTTGTCTGCTACTTGCAACATTGCATGTTCTTATTGGAAAATCAAAGGAACTGGTTAGTGATATTTTGTCCTTGTTACTGCACCAGGCTTCTAGAAACCTTGGTTTTCCTGTTCTCTACGGTGATGGTTCACGTCCTGCAGTTCTGCAGTCTGCTGGTATATCTTCTCCAAAAGCAGTCATGGTCATGTACAGAGGAAAAGATAGGACCACAGACGCTGTTCAGAGAATTCGACTAGCCTTTCCAGCGGTACTCNCAAGGATAATCCAGATCAAAATGGATAAGAAAGTTTACATAGCAGAAAAGTACAAAGCTGTGACTAGTATTTTTGTGCATTGTTAGATACACTGAGCACACGTGGACTCTTAATGACTCATCATAGTGTGTCTATCACCTATTGAATTCTGACCTTTTGCTATTTTTCGACTGAATATGTCAATTTTTATAGGTACCAATATATGCACGAGCTCAGGACGTGATGCATTTATTAGATCTGAAAAAAGTAGGAGCAACGGATGCCATTCTTGAAAGTGCAGAGGTACAGCAATGTCAATTCTTCTTTTTCATTGCTTCACTGTATGTGGATTCTGATCACGCCCTATATATTCCTGCAGACAAGTTTACAGCTGGGGTCTAAACTTCTAAAAGGGTTTGGTGTCATGTCTGATGATGTAACTTTTCTGAGTCAACTTGTTCGAGATTCTATGGAGCTGCAAGCCCAAGAGGTTGTTGATAAAACTGATGATCAAGTGTCTAAAGTTATGAAACCATTGCAGGTACCAATTAATCGTTAAAGAATGCAAGCTTCATTTCTACATGTTTGAATGAATATTTATTATGAATTTACTAGTATTGGACCATTAAGATTGCATGTCTGTGGTGTGACATTATTTCCAGTACTAGTAGTCTAGCACTAGCTGGCATCCCTGTGAGGTGAACTAGGGTTTCCTAGTGGTCTAGCACTGATGATCAAGTGTTTTTCGTATTTCATCCTTATACTTTAATCAACTGTCCCAATACTTAAAACTATTTTGGGAAGTCAAATGTGAAAAAAATAGGCTGGAGTAGTATTTGGTTAAAACTAATTTGTACAGGTAATGGTAGCACTAAAAAGTAAAATGAGAAGTTAGGTAGCAGTACTTTTCAGTTGCTTTACCAGTTACCAAAAGAAAAAAAGAATAATGAGGAGTGTAAACTATTAATGCAAGAAAATGGTCAACTATAGAAGTGGATGAACTAGGTAATAAACACACGAGAGGGTTTTTCTTTTTTAAAGTCAAGTTTTCATTACTAAATACAAAAACAGTGTCAAAGTATGTACAAGATGTCTATATATATACATATATCAAATTTGCCAGTTGCCTATACAACATTATGCTTTGTTTACATAAAAGATACAACTGAAATAAGATAACTCTTTTAATACTGTCTAATCATTCTCATTATTGTGGAGCAACTGTTTATTTCTTTCATTCCATACACATACAAAGAGAGTTTTAGTGTTAATCTTTCGCAAGCTTCCCTCCTGTCACTGCTGATCCAGTTCCACTGTCCTTGATAACACCCACAACCAGGACGCATTTTAGCTCGGCTCTGAACTTTGAAGTCAATCTGCAATGCAACAATAATACTATCAAAAGAACAACTATGCCCGATAAATTAAGACAGAGGGAAGTGAGAAATGTAGTGAAGTAGACATAGTTGGCAAACTAAGAGTAAGAGTCCTTGATGGAACATAAAGCATGCTCCTTATGTAAAAAGAAAGAGTGTACGTTAGAATGTTCCCTCTCCTTTTGTACAGGTTTTTACCGCTTCTAAAAAATTCTTGTTCAGTTATACATATTGGCACACTATCATCATGCTTATCAGGACAGGAGTAGTAAATTAGAGAGCAGAACTCTTCAAATTCAAACTTAAAATGTTAAATAAAGTGAAAAGAACAAAAAATGAGTTGAGTATTATGAAAATTAATTCTCTCTATTTTCTTGCGCAAAATTTAATTTAATTTAAAACTTTTTACATTCATTATTTTTTCTATAAAAATGACAATATTTATTGCCATACTCCATTGCTACCATGTAATACACATGTTTTTTAGCTAGTAATATTTGAAAAGGGAGGAAATGTAAGACACAAATTGAGGAGAGCAAACGTGTTCCCTGAAGTAGATATTTTCCGACCTTGGGCACTTCCCTTTTTTTCTTTTTGTTCTTTGCAAATTGCAAATGAGAATGATAGTTGGTTAATTGATTCCAAAGATCTAAACCAGTAGGTTTAAGGCACAAATTTTGATTTGTGCTCGATTGAGAAGGCTCTCAAAACTGTAGTTAGTTTGTAAAGATGATAGTCTTTTAACCACTTAGTATGTCCACCCTATTTTACTTTAATTTTACCACCATTTCAGGAGTCAAATATTCCACAGAACTTTTTATATTCTAAATGTCTCCTTTAGTATATATCTTTAAATTGGTCCTAAAACTATAACATATTAGTAAAAAGAATGAATTAATCAATGTCCAAAACTAACCTTCTAATTGGTCTATTTACCTAAACAACCGTACTTGGTCGTGTAGAATGAGACAGAAAAACAAGAGTATGTTAATGTAAAAGGCTTCTGCTGTCTTCTGATCAGTTTAAGGAGTTTGTTTCTGTTGATTATGCTTACCACTCCGAGCTGCAACAAATTCTATGTTCTTTCACTGATTATTATCAGAAAGCTGGGATTAATATGGCTGTTAACGAAGTTGGAGAACATTTTATCAGGTAAGAGTTGCAGACTTTGTCCAGAATGGGAAACCCGCGCTATCACCTAGAATAAATGATACAACGCAGGATTTGATGGATAAAAGTTACAGTTCGGATGCAGCAGCTGATGAGTCATCTGATGATGGCGAGGGCAATCCATCTCCATCTCATGATTTTGAAAACGAAACCCAGCTGTTTGAGGAGGCTGACATAGAGAATGCATTTCCAGCTAACTCGGAAGGTGGTGGTATGGAAAGTGATACAGGTGAGATCTCCCATCTAACTTAGAGCGGGCAGCTGGTTCTGCAACTGCGCACTCTAATATAGGCAAACCTTGTATTTAGAGGCATCCAATATAGGTCCATTCCAATTTTTGACAGCTTTATTGTTTACGAGCATGCTAGGAAATTGGCGTACATAATTGAACATTTGTTAGCAATCATATATTGTATATAGTCGAGTTTAAGGGACTGGGTATCCAATTTAGCTAGATTTTGTTGACTCGCCCGAAAAAAATGTAAGGTATATTTAGTTATTGTTTTTAGTCTGCATCCAAAACGAGAAAAATTGTCAGGTGATTCAATTTTTTTACTTTTATTTATTTATAATGGTAACAGTTTTCTATATAGAAAAGTGCACCATACAAGTTGTAAAGTAACAAAGAATTACACAGTAAAATGCAAGTAAAGATCCTATGTGTAGTCAAAAATAGATTCAGCGTCTTCTAAATATCCTTGTTTACACCAAAAATAGAACAGCATGAAACAATTCATCTTCAGCTTTTGAACGGTGCTGTATTTGTCTTCAAAGCACCTCTGATTCCTCTCTTGCAAGACAGTTACATGTTGGGACAATCTTCCATCTCTCTTTCTGACTGGATAAGTTGCCATCTTTGCTCTAACTAGTTAGCACATCAATCTGTAATTCTGCCAATCTCCCAGTCATTTAATAATCTTCTGTAGGTAAAGATCCTATCCTTGTTCTGCGATTGAAAGATTGAGATGGGGATTAATTTTTATCAAATTTATGGTTCAAATTGTGATGTAATTTTGACGTCTCTACTTTACTTCCACCTCCTTTGAACGCTTTTATGCTCTAACTTTACTCTTGCAGAGGATGTGGAACATATGCTGTAAATGTAACTTCACAAGAAGCAGCAACTGATCAAAGGGTTTTAAGGAAAATAAAAGATACATACATACTTGTGCCTGATGATGTATGGACTCGAATACCAGTGATCTCTCCTAAGTGCTGCCATTGACTGAAACAAGAACTGTATCACCAGTCACCGGCCACAAGTTAGCATTCACAAAATAATTACCGTTCCATGTGTTGATCTTCATGTTTCCAACTTCACTTTTTTTGGGGAGAAAAGAGTGATTAAAAACAATTCATAACTGTTCCACAGTAGACCATACTATGTCTTCTTCAGTTAACCGGCAAAAAATCATCTTCAATAGTATTATCCTTCTCCTCTACAAAGTCATAGTCGTATTTTTGTTCACTTCAAATCCTCATTGCTTCTATAACTACCAGACAAATTTGACAATGGAGTTTTCTCAATCACATATCATTTATATATGATGAAACCTTTCTTCCTATCAACTTCTCTGGTATACCGCCCCGCACAATGTCCTACATACACGAGCTTGCTTGACTTATACTTAATTGCTTGACTTAATTGAATAATGTGTTTGATATTGACGTTTGATAATGGAGGGAGTTAGTTTGGAATGGATTGAAAGAGTAATTGGATTTCAAACCCCCCCCCCCCAAAAAAAGGTGGCGCAATGGCGTGGCTGACAGCATGGAACATTACAGAGGCTGGCACAATCTACGTTGCTATGGCATTGAAGGCATCATGAACCATCAGAGTTTAGCTCCGTCTCCAGCATGGGCTGAAGGTCTATAAAAGAGTCTCACTTCGGGAATTTTGGTTCCAAAAAAGAAATGGGATCTAAGTCATGGCTTTGGACGCCACTTTTTCACCCCAACCCCCTCTCAACCGTCAACGGAAGTTGGAGATGGTTAGTTTATGTTACATTATATTTGCTAACATGAATCTTTATAACCCTCCAAATCCAATGATTTGTTCAGAGATCTCAAGAATCCCAAGAATCCTTCAAAGTTGGTGTATGAGGGTAAAATTAACGAATGATCGGTACACGTTTGTCGAGTTGACACATGGTAGTAAAAACAAGTAAGGTATGAATCAACAAATAGCTATCACTGGTTACCGGCATGTGACCAGTGTTGTGTGAGTTCCGAATATATTGGAACCGGAGCCGAAAAGTTTGAAAGTAAGATACCAATTGAAGAATGTAGCATTCAAGGAGCAACCGTTACAAAGAATCTTAGCTTTTATACTCAACCATTATGTGGCTACCAAAAGGGGTCTTTATTCACATTAAAGAGGCGCTTGATTTGGAGATCTTGTCTCTCCTAATTTAGCTATAAATAGAGAAATCTGTATTCAGAAAAGGACACGAAATACATGTATGAAAAAAGGCTAAACTTATTATCTTATGCTAGTAACATTATTTTACCAAGTACTTTGTTCTTGTTATTGTTCTTGCTACCAGAAAAGCACAATTCCCGGCTCAGGCTCATCTCTTATTCAATTATTTCTTACTTTATTCAATTTTGTTCTTTATCATTTAATTTTCTCGGATCAATTTAATTCACGTCTCTATATACAAATTTAACTCTATCATTTTATGGGTAAATAATTTGGCGCCCATCGTGGGGCATATATAATTGTGGTATTACTTTGCTCCATTCATCTTTCACTAACGTATTTTGATGCTTTTCTTTAGTAAAACAAAAACATATATGATACCTAATAATGTCAACAACTCGCTCAATGTTGGAACAAACAACGTCAATGAGCATGAGGACAACTTCCGTGGTAGAAATCATCTGGATCATATGGGTAATGAACCAACAACGATTGGAATGAAGCAACTCCGATCCGAGAAGAACAAAATACTCGGCTTGCAAGGATTCCTACCCCTGATGATATGGGTAATGAACCCGTTGATGTTACGGTGAAAGTTTTGAGAGCACAACAAAGAAAAATCATGAATCATCTCTCTAGACAGGACCAAATAATGACTGAGCTCCAACAATCACTATCAACAACAACAACAACAACAACAACAAACCCAGTTTGATCCCAACAGGTGGGGTCCGGGGAGGGTAGTTTGTACACAGACCTTACCCCTACCCAATGTAGGTAGAGAGACTGTTTTTAATAGACCCTCGGCTCAGGAAGGGCAAGAAAAAGAAGAGGAAAGCAACGAAGGAAGAAAGATGGAAGAGAAAAGAAAAGGGAGAGATAAATGATAAGTAGTACCAAATAATAGCAACAGGGAATACAATACCTTAGGCGAATAAAACCACATAACGCAATAAAAATCTAAGAATATGAAGAGACATGCATGCTACAAAGACTATCGGTAAACAACTATAAGCTACCTACTAACCTTTTACCTTAATTCTCGACCTCCACACCCTCCTATCAAGGGTCATGTCCTCAGTGAGTTGAAGCAGTGCCATGTCCTGCCTAATCACCTCCCTAGTATTTTTAGGTCTACTTCGATCTCTTCTCAATCTCTCCATGGCCTCTCACACTTCCTGACAGGAGCATCAATGCTTCTTTTCTTAACATGTCCGAACCATCTCAGCCTCGACTCCCGCATCTTGTCCTCCACGGAGGCTACTCCCACTCTGTCCCGGATAACTTTATTCTTAATCCTATCTCTCCTAGTACACCCACATATCCATCTCAATATCCTCATCTCTGCTACTCTCATCTTCTGCACGTGAGAGTTCTTAACTGGCCAACACTCAGCCCCATACAGCATGACCGGTCGAACCACCACTCGATAAAACTTACCCTTATGTCTCAGTGGCACATTGACTCAAATAATTTCATTGGAGGTGTTTGAGCCCCTCCCAGCGTGCCTGCGAATTAGACAACACAAAGAATTGGTAACATTGCTTCAAGGGAGGAGTTCAGATTCAGTGAGAATCAAGCAGGTGGAGCAGGCAGTGGATCCAAAAATGATAACAACACAAATGATCCTTTTAAAACCGAGCTCATGAGGTTCATGAGGGAAATGAATGATCGGATGGATCAAAATACTAAAGAATTTCATTCTCGGATGGATCAAATCTCGGGGGTACCTCCGGTGTTGAAGGGCCCAGATTCAAAGAATACTCAGCTATCGTTCAAACAAAGTGCAGCCCTAGAGTTCATTCCAAAAGGTTCAAATGTCGGATATTTTAAAGTATGATGGAACTTCGGATCCACAGTAGCACATCACAACTTACACTATGGTTGTAAAGGGAAATAATTTGGCTCCACATGAGATCGAATCTGTTTTGCTACAAAAAATTGGCAAAACCCTAAGAAAGGGAGTTTTAACATGTATTCTCTTTTGCCTAAATATTCAATTAATTCTTTTGAGGTGCTTGCAGATTATTTCATCAAACTCATGCCGGGGAAAGAAAATTCCAAGACAGGAAGGCGGATATATTCAGAATCGCTTAAGAAGAAACTGAATTGCTTCGAGAGTTCATGATCCGGTTCTAAAAGGAGATAATACTATTGTTGGCAGTACCGAATGAATGGGAAGTAGAGGTGTTCACCAAGGGCCTCAATCCTTTGAGCTCTGATGCCTCGAGAAAATTAAAAGAGATCTTGTTAGAATTTCAGGCAACCACATGAGCAGATGTCCATAATCATTATAAAAAATCAGAATTAAAGATGATTAACTGAGTTCTTCGGTGTCCTATAAGGGTCGTAATCACTATCGGAATCAGGAAAAGTTCCAAAATAATTCTGATGCATACCGGAGATCATTCAAGAGCCATTTCCAACCTTATTTATCAAATGAAATATCTGATGCACGTGGAGCTAAAGTTTTTCAATCATTGGAAAGATTCAGACCGGATAGAAGGACGGATCGTGGTTCTAGTAGTACGACATTGTAGGATAAAGAATCATCGGGGTCCTGGGATTTAGGATATCCCCAGTTATCAGATTAAAATATCAACATTAGTCTAGTAGAGTTGGTTTCGACCATGAGAAATATCAAGAAGTCAAGGTTCCCGAAATCGATTCGACCAGAACCTAATCAAAGGGATCTTAATTTTCGGTGTGAATTCCACAGAACACATGTCCATAGAACTGGGGAATTCCGGCATCTTCGTGAAGAGGTCTCAATGCTGTTTAAAATTTATCACTTAAGATAATTATTAAGTGACTGGGCTAAGAACAACTACGGGAGGAGTCGAGATGCAATGGAACCAGCAATACCATCCAAACTCAAATAGCACAAATAACCCACTGGTAGAAAAGAAAGCCTCCATGCAATATCATAAGGATCACACATCCGTAGATTACCCCGTAGGTGATAATCCACCTGCTTAGCCTCAAACTGACATCTCTCTATACCCTTTAACATCCATAACTACTACACAATCACCCAATCTTCCTGAATCCAAACTCATCAACAAGCCCTGAGAATCTAATTCATCCCACAATTAAATAACATAAAAGATACTTCAATACACTAATAACTCGAGACTATACGTAACATCAAGACATAAATCAAGCACCAAATAGTCCTTTTTACATCTCAAGCAAACTCTTTTTGTCAAATTCAAACCATCTGAACACTTCCCGCAGTCACTTCTTACTCATCATATAGCCATCCAACTACTCATCGAGCCACAAATTCCACACATAGGAAAACTGACGAACATAGAAGTCCAAGAGCATATACTCACACAACCAATATTACCGAGCCTAAGCTGCAGTCTAAACCTAGCCTCAAGTCCTCCAGGCTGGCCCATCACCAAGACACAGAAAACACATCTCATACCTCATCCATAGAATCACAATCCATCGATGTACAGCTGATACCGAGCGCTCACATGCACATACGAGTGAGTGGAAGGAATTCAAAGAGATACGCTTCAAGCTGAATCAATGTCGCACGATAAGGAAAGAAAGATGAGAAGTTTATCCTAAGTTCCCTATAGCCTCTCGAAGATAGGTATGAACATCATCATACCGATTCGCAAGACTCTACTAGACACTTGCTCACAATTCGTATAACCTATGAACCTAGAGCTCTGATACCAACTTGTCACGATCCAAAATCCAACTAGTCGTGATGGCATCTAACCCAACCCGCTAGGTAAGCCAACTAACAATTATCCAATTTAATGAGATTTATTAGGACAAATAAATGATAAAATAACTGAACCTTTATACATTTTCCCAAGGATTGATAGTACAAATCATGAGCTTCTAGGATTTAGAGTTTAAAA